GAACTCCAGAGGGAGAGCCATCTTCTGACATCTCAACAGCCTCTTCAGTGCTTCTGCCCCTAGATACCCGATTGGCGGTATTAGAAGGAGGAAGGCGGCCCTGGCCGGGGCCGCTCTCCTGGGGATCATGTCCGTCATGTTGTGCAACATAATGATTGCGCTTCGCGAAGTGACGGACATCTCATCTGTCTTATCGTAGCTCATGCCCGCAGCGCTTAAGTCGCGGGGTTCATCAGAAGTCCCTGCTTCTGGTTGATATGAGCCCGCGTCGACTATATCGCGGCTTTCGGCTGATAACCAGTCTTTCCTCTGAGAATCGGGGTAGGATGTCAAAGGAATTCAGATCTCATGTTCCCTCTGCTCAGGGAGAGAGGGTACGGGATGACACATCGATAAGATAAGTAACCGGTAAGCAAGTGTACTATATCAGGAATGGTAAGTGAGGTGGCCGGCCGGCCGACGACACGACGACGACGCGGGGACGACCCCGCGGCACGCGCGAGCGGGCCAGCTCGCACCTTTTATCTCCTGCAAGCAAACAAAAAGCTGCAGTATGCAGTATAAGTTCAAGTCATACAGTGCACAGCATGCAAGTGTGATAACAAGCGATATTAATATGAGGCGGAGAGGAGCATATGTACTAAATGGGAGGGAGGACGCATATGCACGCCCTCAGTAGGGAATGGCTGTGCGTGGGGCTCCCTATTGGCCACAATCAGCGTGAGGGGTGTGCCGACATGGGCGGAGGGATGCACGTGAACGCCCTCGCAGGGGACGGCCGCAGGTGGAACTCCCCACGGGCCACGGTCCGCGTGAGGGTTGTGCCGAATTGGGCGCGGGGACGCCATGCGAACGCACCAACTGGAGCCGGAGGTGTTGCTTCGCGAGGGGTAGGACTCGTGTGAGGCGGGGACGCCATGCGACGGCGCCCACTGGTGCCATAAGTGAAGCTCCAGATGGGTGCAACAAACGTGCGCGGGGTGCGCCGAAATGGGCACGCGCGGCGCTGCCTATTTGAAACAATGGCCCATCACCAAGTGGGAAATAGCACCTGGACGTTTGACATTCAAGTCTAGCTTAGTTGCTAAGCAGTCTGGTATAGATATGGAGGACTAGTTTCATCACTTTGGAAAGTTAGTCCTCCTCCTTTTCCTCATCCTTATCCTCCTCCTCCTCCTCCTCCTCCTCCTCCTCCTGCTCCTGCTCCTGCTCCTCCTCCTCCTCCTGCTCCCTCAAAACCGACCCAAATACCTGTCCTCGAGCACACAGGAGAGGAGGAGGAGGAGGAGGAGGAGGAGAAGGAGGAGAAAGTGGAGGAGGAGGAGGGAAGACCCAGACCGCCAGCGGATTGATGTGCTAAATCGCGGCAAGTCTGATCGATCCAGGCCTCGGGGGGCGCTGTCGAGCCCCAGGGCAATCGAACATTTATCTGGGCGAAAAACTGTCCTCGGAGAAGCGGTTGGGACTTTCGGGGCCGCGGACTGCACAAAAAACGCATCGTCGGATGTGTTGGGGAGAACCACGAATCTGGCCGTCGCGAAAAAAGGCACGACAGCTACGATTTACCTGAACAGCTTGTAAGGGGTCCTATCTGCAGGCAAGAAGCCAGACTCCCTCAGCAGCTTGTCTGTAAGGTCCCATGTGCATGTCAGTAGGGACCCACAAAAAAAGACACGCATGCCGAAACACGCATATGAACACGCATCCAGCAAATGGGCCTTGCAGTTCACGACACGCATGACAGGACGACTGTGCCTTGTGTTATGTTGAGCTGCCATCCTTCACCACCACTTCCACCTCCTCCTCCTTGAACTCATCAAAATCATCATTCTTCCCCACCTCCTGCTTCTCATCTTCCCCTTTCCTTCCCGATTGGCCTTCTTGGGCCATACGAACTTCATACGGTGACGCCTTTGAAGTCTGGCGGGGGCCCTGCCGAGCCCTCGTCGTTCCTCTGTTCCCCGTGTCGTGGCTATCGCGGGCCCTCCAATGAAGCTGTTTGGGGACCGCTTCGGCGGTGGTCGCAATTCCGAAGCAATCGTACCTGGTCGGAGCACTTCAGCCAAATGCCATCGCCTGTGATCCCACACAAAAAACACGCGCCAACTCTTTCTCCGCACACACACACATACCCTGTGCCCTCTGTCTGCCTGAGTCGTAGACGGGAACTCGCGCGAACATCGACTAACGATAACTTCGACACCCGTACAGAAGGCCGATTTCGTGGCACATACCGTGAAGAAAGGCATGCTCTCTTAACACATGTAGATGGACCTACGCCAGCGCCTCTCTGTGGTTCTGACTCAGACGTGAGACCTTCACATGTATATACACACATACCTACATGTGCGTGCGTGATCTACTGACGTACGTTTTCTGAATCTAGCTTAACTTCTATGTATACATCTGTATATATATGTACATATATATTTATATATGTACATATATGTACACACTCCTACACCAATACATCGTTCTCTTCCCGTATGTTTGCATACCCGCCCTCTTCCCCCCAAAAAAACGGATCCGTGGCCCCGCGGGCCACGTGGACGCCCCTGTAGGACGCCCCCCAAGCTTTCCGGAGCTCCCGGAAGCCCCTGCTCTAGGCATTGGGCTCACATCGGTCAGGAGGGCGGCCGAACGGCCCCCCGAGGACCCCAAGAGGCCCCAGGCACCCAGCAGACGCAAGAAAACGACCCAAAGAAGACCCCCAAGAGGCTTTCGAAACGCAGAAAAACATGGATGTTCAACCGTTTTGTATGATTCGGGGGATGCTCTGTTCTTCCGTCTTCTGGGCGTCCGAGACCGCCCAGGAGGCCCGAAGATCGCCCCAAAACTATCCGAAAGGGCTTCCAGACAGTTCGGGAAGGCCCCAAGACGGCACAACAGGGTTCCAGGATGGTCCGAAGAGAGCCCCATGACGGCCCAAGATGGCCCCAAGACGCCCCCCGGAGCATTCCAAATCGCAACCCGGTCGTTCAAGGAGACCGCGGTTGGAAGCAGGATGGCCCGAGGAAGCTCCCAGAGGCCCCCAGAGGGCGCCCGGGAGGCCTCCAGAAGGCCCCAAGAAGCCCTCAAAAATCTCGTGAGGCCCCGAAAGGCTCTCCGAGGAGGAGTCTCCGCAGAAAGAGCTGAGGAGGATGGGGACAAATTCGCAGGGTATAGAGAGAGAAGGGGAAAAAGAAGAAGAAACATAAGGGAAGGATAACGAATAACAACATTGCAACCGGCAACATCGGAAAAGGCAACAAGGCACTATCGCCAACTTGTCTGTGATACCTTCTAGCCCTTCCGCCTGCATGCCAAACTTCAAGGAGGACCAAGGTGCATGGCGCGAAGCGCTAATACAGTCTTATATTTGTATATATAGACACACACATACAAACACACATCTGTTGTTACTGTATACATTGGTATGTGCTTATACATCTGTATGTATATATATATATATATATATATATATATATATATATATATATATCGTATGTATGTAACTGCAACCGTGCCCTTGAGGCACGAGTTGGAATGCCCTCTCAGGTCCTTGGCCGGATACTTTGGAGCCCCAGTCCTGCATCCTGAGATGTCTTTATGGGGCCCGGGCCCTAATGTGACAAATCTTCCGGGGCTTGTCCTATGGCTCCTGGGACTCTGGGGATCTTCCCGAGTGACTTCTTCGGGCCCAAGAGGGCCCCAAGATGGGGCCCCAAGAGGCCCACAAGACGGTCCAAGAGGGACCCGAATCGTTGAACAATAGGTCCAATACGCCCAAGATGGCCTCCAGTCGACCGAAAAAGCACCCAAGACGTCCCAAGAGGCATCAAAGAGCCTTCCCAAGCGGGCTCCAAAAAGCCAAAATTATTGATTGTCCTTCCCTAGGTTTTTCAATGTGTGTTGGGCTCTCCAGTTTGCGAGCTTCCGACGCTCCAAGACGTCCCAAGAGGCCCCAAAGACCGCCCCAAGACGGCCCCGGAGACCCTCAAGAGGGCCCCACGACGGCCCAAGAGGGCCCCAAGACGGCCCAAGAGGCGCCCAAGACGGCCCAAGAGGGCCCCAAGAGGGGCCCAAAAGGGAATTGCCGTGCCCGCGCCGTGCCTATAACCCAGAATGCGAAGCATGCACTATGCCCTGCATGCCCGCGCTGCGTCTAAAACCCAGAATGCGAAATTTGTACCGCGCCGTGCCGTGCCGAGCCCGCGCTGCGCCGAAATCCAGAATGCGAGAAACGTGCTGCGCCGTTCCGTGTCGTTCCGTGCCCGAGCCGCGCTTAACCCAGAACGAACTAAATACGCCGTGCCCGAGCCGTGCCGTGCTCGCGCCGTGCCTCACACAATGCAAACAATCTGCCGCCCGCGTGCCGTGCCGTGCCGTGCAGCCGCCATGCGGTTTCTTATACTGCTTCGATATTTCGGGTCTCGATGCCTGTGTAATTCCACGCTTCGGCCCTCCAGAGACCGTTTCCGCGCCCTCGGACCAGAAACGACTCGGGATCAAAAACAGAGGGTAGGGGGCCGACCGAGGATCCAGGTCTTTGAAGTTCTATGGCCCATTGAACTATCCATAGGCGTCGCCACGGCTGGGGCCGCCTCGAAGGGGGGCGACTCTTCGGTGTAATGACACAGGCTTCTTCTCCTCCTCCTCCTCCTCCTCCTCCTCCTCCTCCTCCTCCTCCTCCTCCTCCCGACCCGACCCATCGTCCGCTGTGATCGGAGAAGGGCCAGGATGTTCTGTAGGTCCGTCCACATGGTTTCCCTCTGGCGCTTCTCGCCCCAAGAGATGCCCCGCTCATCATCTGAGACTCCCCGTGGCAGAGCCCTGACTGCACTGGGCGAAGTGCTGAGAAGAAGGAGGCCGAACCCCGCCGCGCCCCCGACATTCGCCGACGTGATGTGTCCAATCCGCGGCCCTCGTTTCCCTGAATAGGTTTCTGATGGTCCCTGGGCATAGGCAGGGCGCCCGAAGGCCAAAATAAACCATACGAAGGAAGCCAAAATCGGGAAAAAACATATGTCGTCGGAGATCTGGGTCTGGCCGATCCCCGAGCCGCACCCGAGCAAGCACGGCGCGGTCCACCACCGCGTCAGCCCAAGAGCGCCTCATGCGCGCGACCTCGAGGGGGAGGCACGGCGCCGCCGGCCCCACCAAGGTAAAGAGCTGTTGATTGGCGTGTCGCGGCGGCGGCCCTTGCGACGCGCTGCGCCCTGCAAGCTCATAGCATGTCGCTCTGCCTCGTGAAACGGGAGGCTGGGAGAAAATCTCGGAACGTTGATGCTTGGGGACTACGACGTGCTCAGCGTGTCGCGCCGAAGCGTGGTGGGCCCGACCAGGTGGCACGACACGCTAAGCAAACGTTCCTGACCGCAGAAGAGCGGGAAAAAACACAAGCACAAACTATCGGAGATCCGCAGGGGTTTCTTGGGTCGGCGCCGGACCGCATTCCCGCGCCCCTTCCTTCCCCAGCGCGCGAGCGCGCCGGGGGCGCCGCCGGAGGCGGGACGGGGAGGGGATCAGCGCCAGCCCAAGCTTTCCAATCGGACCTCTGTGGCGCCCCTCGTTGGGCCGGAGGCCTCTGCCGCCTCCGTGTGCAAGTTGCGGGTTGGGCGCCCTGGCCATCACAAAATAGGGTCCACAGTGAAACGACACACGACCCACGCGCGGGTGCGCCGCAGATCTTAGAGCGAAAAATTGCGCCCCTGCGAGGCAAGGCCCCAGCTGGCTCTGGCAGCAATAACTGCCAATGGCACCCGCGCGCCACCCGAAGGTCGGCGGCATTGCCCCACCACGGGCGGACCCAAGACCCCAGCTACAGTAGACTCGTCAAAGAAGATTCAGATTCTGGCCTACCAACGGGTGCCCCAAGATAATTCTCAATGCGAATCCAAGAACTATCAAAAGCCTTTGGGACCAAACATGTGCAATAAAAGTTTGAACGGCCCAAGGTCGCCGGAACCGCGTCTCTCGACATCACGCGAATCATAGCATGCATCAAAATCTGAAACGCTTGCTGGGGGCAAAAACCGTCGGAGGAAGAACAAGAATCGTTCGACGCTGGAGGCGCTGTTTTCCCCCTTGCGAGAGGACGAGGGGGTACTCCTTTCCTAACCCTGGGGCTAACACTATCCCCCGATGGGGAGCCCTGCGGCGCCTTGCGAAGCTCAGAGTCGAGGAAGGATTTGCCCCTAAGTTTCTTACAATCAGACTGTTATCGTGCGTGCCTACTGCACCCCAGCGAGCCATCGTCACGGCAGAAGCTGGCTGGCGCGTCCCAGAAGGAGCTGGAGAACCCACGCACTGGAACCACGGGGCCATGGGCCGCCCTCGTAGCGGAGGGGGCCAGCGGGGTCGGGGCCGTCATTCCGAAGACGACGGCAGGACGAGGGCAACCTCGGAAGAAGATACAGATCGGGGATTCCTGAGAACCTGCGTGCCTGGAGGATGTGCTTGTCGGGTGCCGCGGCCGCCCCAGAGAGCCCCGGAACGCTGTGAGACAGTTCCGGAGCGCTGTGTAAAGATTGATCTTCATCCCCTGACATCCGCCGATCTGTTTCTTCCGTTCCGCGGCTCCAGAGCTCCCGACCCCCTCCCCGGGAGTAATTTTTCGTCCCAGAGCTGGGACCGATGAGGGTCCACGAGGGCCGAAACCGAGGACGCTGGGATTGAACAGAAACCTTGTCGTCGGAGATCTGGGTCCTTGGCCTGCCTGAATCATCGCCTGGCGTGACATGCTCCGCCCACCTCCTGTCAAGAATTTTTCTCTGGAGTGGTCCAGCGCGGCCCTGACTCCGGGTTGATGCCCCTGCACCGGCGCGGGCTCCCTAGTCACGCAGCCCGGGCCCGTGGGCGAGGTTCCAGCGCTCGAGCGCGAACGTTTTTTGCTCGGTCGGCATGGACACCCCCGCCCATCTAAGGATAACATGTCATCATGGAAGGGACTTGGGCTGCCCCTACGCGAGCCTTGGACAAGTCCTGGGCCACCTTGGAGCCGTCCAGGGGCGGCCTTGTGCCATCTGGGGGCGGTCTTGGAGCGCCCTCGCTTGGTCTTGTTGGAAACACATTGGTGCCGCCTTAGGAATACCGCAATCTGCTTTCGAGCTTTCTTGGGGCTCCCCAATGGCGTCGTTGCAGCCTCTACGAGTGAAGCACGGTACGAGGTCCAGAACCAATGGGCACTGGGAAGATTAACCGAAGGGGACGCCCGCGCGGTGAGATGGGGCGGTTACAGCGATCGCAGATGCAGAAGAAGATGCAGAGCGCTCAGCGGCAAGACCTACCAACTGCCCTCATGCTCCACTTCTTCCTCACCGTCTTTGACTCAGCCTTCTCCTACTCACCATCACAAACGTTATCGTCATGGTCGTCATCAAGAGCAGCAGAAGCAGCGTCATCATCATCATAAATACCATGATACGTACAAGCATCACCACCCCCCACCACCATCACCATAATGATCACAACTACAGTGGCCATCAACGTCGGCATAAACGAGCACTCCTGGAAATAATCCCCAGAAAAACGTACAATTGGGGGTTCCATGGGAGTGCACGGATGTACGGAATGTTAAACAAAGGTCGAAGTGTACGGATGTACGGTGTACGGTGTACGGATGTACTGATGTACTCGCGGGCCCAAACCGAACCACCCTCACCACTCGCGCTTGGGCGGGGCCTTTTCTGGAGGGGTGGGAGGAGCACGAAACCTGAACAGCAGTATGGTACAACGATACCCTGATCGCTTTTGCGGGGCCTCCCTGGAGGGGTAGGAGAAGCACGAAACCTGAGAAATAGTTCGGTGTAACAAGACCTTGCTCGCTCTCGCCCGAAATCTCCCTAGGCAGAGGCCCAGACGAGGCCGCTGGGCGCGCCGCCGCCCAGGGACCTCGACTTCGGTTCCCCCCAGCGCCAGAGCGCTCGAAATCTACGTCCCTGGGAGGTGGTGGGCGCGCAGACGGGGAAAAGCTAGTGGCCGCTGGGAGGCCCCTCCTGCGGGCCCCCCCGCCAATCAGGGACGTGGATTTCAGACGCTCAGGCGCCAGGAAGGCCAAGGTCGAGGTCCTTGGGCGGCGGAGTTCCTCCTGCGGCCGGTTTTGTTCAGGCGTGACCGTTACGGGGAGGGGGAGGGGTCGAAGGGGCAACATGCGTTACACCCGGGGGGGAACGAGGGTAATAACCCTTTTTATGGTGCGATCAGAAAGAATCGGAATAACAGTCGTAAGAGTAATGCGAATAACCATGACAATGATGATACTGATGATGCTGCTAGTCATGTTCAGAAGATGATAGCTACGATTTGTACTTGGCCCGGTGGATAGTAAAGCTCGGCCTCGCCCCCCCCCCCGCCGCCCAAAAGTGTCGTGGCTACAGATAATCAGCACTGGGGACTTTAGGGGGCGTATCTCTTATTGTCCAGGGCATGCGGTTAATCCGTGTCAGATTCAACATCATCGTCGCCACCGCCATCATCACGATCATCGTCGTCCTCCTCCTCAACTGTTTCGTGCTCTGTCCTTCGTCTCTCCCTGATCATCGAGAAAGACAGACCAACACCACAGTGTGCTCCTCAGACCTCTTCCAGCCTGCGTTCTGACCAGGACTCCGAGGCAAATCCAGCCGTGGCCAAGAGGCCCCGCAGCAGGCGGAAACAAAGGAAGGCCGTCGGTATCGGCATTCACCTCTCCTCCGAACCCAGGCATCCGAAGTCGCGATTTTTCACAGCGTGGCTCTGGACCCCTTCCCTGGGACGAATATTTCATCCCAGGCCGGTTTTTGAAGGTCCCAAGGGCCCAGCGAGGCCGAAAACGATCAGAAACTTCCCGTAGGGAGTTTTCCACGACGCGATGGGGTCTGGGAACCACTCTCTCCCCTCTGCCACTCGGCGGGCCACCATGTAGAGGCCCTCCAGCCAGATGGAGGCCGAGTACCACCTCGCGCACTGGCCGCCGCGCCGGGTCTGGGCGTGCACCTGCGAGCGAGGCCATCTCTTTGTGAGCCGTCGGGCCCCGCCGTCGCCATCGCCATCGCCGAGGCCACCCCCCCTGAGGTCCGGGCGCTGCATTTTTTCTACAACGGGTGTTTTCGCTCGGTTTCGGGCACCAGGGCCCTCGAGAATGTGTGCGCATATATATATATATATATATATATATGTATATATACACACATATATATATATATATATGTATATATACATACTGTATGTATTATGTATTTCTTTCCCCCCCGCAACGCCCGTGACGTGACGGGGGGGCCCTCGGAGTATCGGTAACGTGGCGGATGCGTGCATGGTGCTAACAGTAGTAATGGTACTAGCAGTACCAGTATTAAGAGTACCCGTAAGGCCACGACGTCGACAACCACCAGGGGCGTGGCAATTGTTGCGCAACTGCGCGTTTTCGCCCAACTTCGGGCCAAATGGCCCTCAGACCCTCACATAACGATCCAGATCGGAAAATGGCGCAGAAAGGTGGGGTCCAAGCTTCTGGTCGTGATGTGTTATAATGTTGCACTTTTCCGCTACATCGGATCTCAAGGGAGTGCACATGGTGGAGGAGGGCAAAGGGTTTTGATTGTTCGCGAGGTTGCAATGTTCTGCAACGTTGGACCCCAGGGTCGTCAAGCGACCACGAGAGGCATCCACGAGGCATCTAGTTCACTGAGGCTCCCCGAGGTATCCAAATTATGCCACGCCCCCCCGATAAGGACAGTTTCCCTGGGCATCGTTCCAGGATGGGCTGGCGGGGATACTTTTTTGGTCGCGTCCGCTAGCGAAGGCGCAGGCGGAGACAGAAGCTGTCCGGGGCACGGAGGCAGTCCTAATTAGTTCCTAGAAGCGAAGCGATGAGAATTTAGAGTTCGCAGCAGCTACAATAATGCAAGAGGTCGGTTTTAAGAATGGGGTTCTCGCCCCAGCGCTGCGCAAACTCGTCCCAAAAAATTGCAACCGCTGCACATGTGGAAGGGGAAGCTCGCCTGAGCTCCGCGCGCCCTTGCCTTGAAAGCTTGCACCAGCTGCGCGGATTGAGGGCGGGTCCTCTTCCAAAATGCAGGTCCCCCTCAAGTCAAAAGTTGACAACAGCCACAAGAATGCAGGGGGCAGTCAGTTTTAAGGTTGGGGGCGCCACGCGCACTCGCCGTAAAAGCATTGAACAGCTACACAGAGAAAGGGATGGTGGTTTTCATTCTGGAATGTTCGCGTTAACGCCGCGCACAATCGTCTAAAAAATTGCACCGGCTAGACGTATGGGGGGCAGGTCGTTTTCAGTACATGCGTCTTTGAAGCTTGCACCAGCTACAAGAATGAAGGTCGGCTCGTTTCAGAGCAGAGCTCTCTCTAGCGCCGCGCAGGCTCGTCTGAAAATATTGCATCGGATATATAAGGATGGAGGGCGGTCCCTTTTCAAGATTGGGCTCCCGCCTTAACTCCGCGCACATGTGTCTTACAAGGCTCCCATCCAAAAGAACTAAACCCATAGCGTGCGCCTCGCGCGCGTTCAAGTCCCAGACAAGTTCAAAACAATGCTGGCCGCGATAGGAGATAATCATTCCTTCGCAGGTTCCTCATCGTCCTTCTCCTCTTCCTCCCCCTTCCCTTCTCCTCATTTGCCTTGAGTCATCGTCATTCGCCTCTTGCTTCTCACACGTTTTTCTGCCTAACCCTCATCTGTTGTTTAGATCCCTTTGTGAGATTCCGCTTGTTAGTGCAATCCCTGCCACGAAGCGTTCCAGGATGTCCCCCGAACGGATGGAAGGGGCTAAAGAGGCCCCATCGGGCTGATCTCCTCCTCTGACCCCACACCCCCGACCATGTTGTTTCACAATACCGACCCCCAGAGGTCACGGCCCATTCACCGGAACGGGCGTTTCATCCTGGGTCGTTCTCGACGGTCCTGGGGCCCGGCGAGGGTCCCTGGAAGCCGATGACGGCGAGAACCCTCCGTCTTGACTTCTCCAACGCGTTGGATGTCTGGGTGCCTCTTCCTCTTCTGACCCTCCCCGCGGCCGCCGCTGCCGTCGACAGGCGGCCCCCGAGCGGCGGCGGCGCGGCGGCGCGGCGGCCTTGATACCGCAGCCGCGCGCCTTGCCGAGGCCGCTCCCGAGCGCGCAGCGCCGCGACGGGCCCGCAGAAACGGGCGGCTGCTGCGGGGGGGCCGCGGCCGCCTGGCGAAGACGGCTGATGGTCAAAATCCTGCACAGGCGATGCTGACTTCTGCGAGCCCGCCCCCCACAGGCCCAAATCGAACATCGGCGGGCGGCGCCGCGATGTGTCGATCCGTCGAATGGCCGTAATCCTGCGCCCCGCTGGCGATGCCAATCAACATTGAATCGGGAGCAGGGGGAGCGTTGAAGCTTGCGCCGGCACCCCAGTCGCAGGAGTGGTGGAAGATTTTGTCCATCAACTGCTGGAGCGGTCGGGTCACGGGCGGCGCCAGGGGCGTTCGCGGAAGACCCGGATCTCCGACGATCCGGTTTGCTCACTCTGGGCTTATTTTCTCGATTTGGGCTCCCGCGGCCCGCTGTCAGGCTCCGGGGCCATCGAGAAAGGATCCAGGGCGAAAGACTGCACCCAGGCAAGGGGGTTGGGACCTCTGGAGCCGTGCAGTGAAAAACAAGATGAACATGGTCGGATGTCTGGGGTCGGGGAAGCAGAAGGGCATAGTAGTTCCATGCGCCCCCTTGGAGACGGACGTCCGAACCAAACACATAATGCAAACGGTTTGCAGCATGTCGTTGCCCAGGCGGTGTGGCCAAAAAGCGCCCGCCACCAGGCATGTACTGTAAGACTTCTGGGCGCGCGCGCCTTGCCCCTGGGGGGGCGGCGAGCGCATCGCAATGGATGTTTAGATGATGCCGACGGTCGGGCGACTGGCGGCGCCGAGGGCGTTCGCGGAAGAGCGAGGAGCGGGCCCAGACGGTCAACGTTTTGAAAACAACAACCAAGGTTTGGCACTATCACAAGGCGGCTCGGGACTTCCGGGAGCCCCGCATTGAACAACAAAATACTTCGGGTGTCTGGAGAGTGATCGCGTGTGTCCTTTCCTTCGGGCATTCTCTCTCGGCGCTTCATCCATTGAGCTGGGTGCCGTCCGTGTGGGCGCGTCCGGCACATGCTTGATTCGCGACCGTGGGCACCTTCCCCGGCCACTCCGACGCTGTCTCCTGGGAAAGATCGGGTGGGCGAATGGGAATAGCCTGTTGCTCTCCGAGGCGCCGTGGGGGAGGGGAGGGGGACCATGCCCCCCCTCCTGTCCCTGCGGGAGAATCAAGGCGGAGGGTGGGGGCTGGTTGCCCACGTTCGTCCCCCGCGGAGGGCCTTGCCCGGCCACGGGACCGTCTCTTGGAGTCTACGATGCGGGAAAGGAGAAAACGTCGGAGGTCCGGGGGGAGGAAGAGGGGGGTGGAGAGGGAACGGGGGTGAGGAAGGCTGGGACGAGGGGGGGGGGGCGGGGGAGGCGAGTGGGGAAAGGAAAGCGGAGGAGGGGAGAGGGGAGGAGGGGAACGGGAGCAATGATGCGACGCGCGGCTTCGTTGAGTGCGTGCTCGGAGGTTTTTCTTCGAAGGCTCAGAAACTGTGTGAAGGCATCATTGTCGCGGCGTGCACCAGCTGGACTTCGGCCTTTACATGGCAAATGGCGTCGAGGTTTAAGAGAACCATCATGTTGACGTCAGTCCGATCGCACGAAGAGTTTGGAGGCCGGTCTTTCAACATGATGAACCTGAGCTGGTACTCGGGGTTCTTCGTGCGAGTGATCAGCTCCTTCATGATTGAGGTCAGAAGCTCCACGCTGGAACCTTCGAGCTGGCCGCGCACGATGTCGGTTGGCATGCGGCATGCGCACCAAGCGCCGCATGGTAAGTTATTCCAGCACTCTGGGAAACATCTTCAATGCTCCGATTGAGCATGCCGTGCCGACAATACCTTCGAAAATCTCTCGGAGGAGTGGTACGAATAGAGTGTGTAGGACAAGGGCCGCTGTCTCGTAGCATACGTGGGAGCCAACGCTGGTGAACTGGAAAGTTCGCATCGTTACATCATCGTCTCCCAGCTTCTCGATTGGTAACTGCTTCGCAGTGGTGCTCAGGTTTGTGTACGCACAATCCTCTTTGGTCAAACCGTGCGTCATGCTGTACAACTCCGTGTACGTCGCGACGACAATAGACTGAGACTGATTCCGCAAGGTTGGATCGACCCAGGTGGTGAGCACTGAAGACCTTGCTCACGATGTCCTCCAGATCGTGCCTGTCCGTTGGTGAGGTGTACGTCGCCTTCTCGCTGAAGTCCAGCCTGCGAGAGCTCCACTGCCGCGAGTCCCGCCTGAAATGGAAAGGCGTGTGGCGACTGTGACGTCAACAAGCTTTGCGAGGACGTAAAGAAACTGCCCAGCCATACTCGTGCGTCGGCAAGCTGGGCCCCCACGGTGTAAGCCTTGCGGTTATGTTGACGTAATGAACTCGCACTGACATCGCCACCGTCAAGATTGCACTGGCATTGACTTCTGTAACGAGCTTGTCGATCCTGCCTCACAGTTCCATCATCGTGTAGCGTTCCCTCTCTCGCTGCCTCCCCTCATTCTCTCGAGGCTTCCCGGAGCTGTACTGGGTTGCGCTCGAGTCGTGGTCCAGGAAATGGCATGTGATGTGACGGTCGGCACGGCACCGGCAGATCCTGGCTACTCTGTGCCATCTCAAGTGCTGAGATGTGCTGGCAATCCTCTTGGAAGCAGAGATGCCGTCGTCGCCAAACCCCTGCTTGTCGCAACTATTCTGCGAATCGGGAAACTTCTCATCGCCGGCAGCCCTTAGTCCGCGGCAGGGCTCGCACTCCTTGTTGAGACAAATGGATATCCTTACCGCTACTCCACGGGGCTCTCCAGGGGTGCGGTCTAGCCACCTTTTCGAAGCAATACACCGGTGGCGACGAGGGAAGGCTAGCAGTATTGGTACCTTTTCCACCCCAGACTGCAGTCGCTTCCAGCCCCAGAGGGAAAGCAGCTATACAGGCCACGGAAACACGCGCCTCTGTTGGCGCGGGCGCGGAAGTCCTGTCCGAACAAGTCAATGGTCCCGCTGGAGCCCCCGAGGACCAAATCCAGGAAACCATCGCCGACCACCTCGGCGAGGTGCGGAGACGCTGCCTGCCCACCCAGGGCGCGGATGCCCGCGATCGGATTCTGCGCGCCCATGCGCTCCACGAGGCCGCCGTCGGCGCGGCCCTCGTGGACCGCGAAGGACCCGCCGCGGCCCCCGAGGATCTTGTCCAGGCCAGGAAGCCGTCGCCGGTCACGTCTGCGAGGCGCGGGGACGCTTCCAAGCCCCCGCCCCGGGGCTTTGAGGCCCGCGAACGGGTTCTGCGCTCCAGTACGCTCCACGAGGCCGCCGTCGGCGTGGCCCTTGTAGAAGCAGATTGACCCGTCGCATTTCCCAAGGATCAGGTCCAGGAAGCCGTCGCCGGTCACGTCTGCGAGGTGCGAGGAAGCGAACTGCCCACCTGGGGCGCGAAGGCCAGTGAACGGATTAACGCGCGCTGGTGCGCTCAAGAAAGACCTGCTTGCGCCAGTAGCAAGTGCTGTCTGAGGAAGCTCTGCGTACAGCTGGGTGGCCGTCAGCAGTAAGTAGATACACATAAGAGCACGACGAAGATATAACAGTGGCCGAACATCTTGAAGGACCTGGGCCGAACTTGAGGAGGGGCCAAACTTCGAGGCTTGACCCAAACTTGCAGGTTTCAGCCAAACTTGGACACCCGAGCACCGTAGCTGGAACAACCTTCACACAAAGCAGGCACTTCGCTCGGGCACGGTGGCCTGCACTGCCCGTCGGCCCCGAACGAAGGGGCCCTCGGGGGGCCCTCGTGGGGGCAACCAACTTGCGCCGAGCCCGTGGCACCATGCACTTGCGGAGAAAAGCAGGGGGGCGACGGCACGGGCGACGCCTGGGTAGAAGTGGCTGGGAGGGCAGGGGGGAGGACGGGAGCGTGAAGTAAGCTGGCAGGGCGGGTGGCAGGCGTCGGGCGTGTCTTTCATTCAACCAGCGCGCGCCACTTCTGCAGCTCGAGCTTTATCCCCCGATGTGTCGACGTCGCTGTGGTGCTCCCATGTGTTGCCCCCACGTGTTGCCCCCCACGTGTCGCCCCCATGTGTTGCCCCGAAATGTCGCCCCAAAATCTCGCCCTAAAATGTCGCCCCCCATGTGTCGCCCCCGTGTGTCGCCCCCATGTGTTCCCCCCTCGTGTGGCCCTGGGGCCCTCCATTCACTCAACCAGCGCGCAGGGAGAATGTAAGACCGTTCGGGCCCTCCCACTCTGACGAAACCATCGAATTCCACACGGAGGTCCCGATTTGTTTTGGGGGGCAGAAGGGGGGCTGACACCTCCGAGCAACAATCGCGGCGAGGCCCGCGGCCAGCGTGTAACCACAGTGCGGTTAGCAAGAGGCGAAACGCGAAAGGCGCGCATCAGTGTCCTGCCGACGTGGCCGAAAGTACGCGGAGATCCCATAGGTGTGCATACTTTCTCTCACACGAGATACCCTTCAATCAGCGTCTTAGTACGAGCGGGATGGAAGGCAAGTGGCGATGGGCCATTATGACTGGGTCTCCCCTGGCGGCTCCTCCTTCAGATGCCCGAGTGCCATGCCTACGGAGACTCGCCAACTGAGCCGAAACAGGCGTGTCGCCTGAAGGGTCCGCGAACGGGCCCGCGTCATACCCCTGGCGGCTTCCCATTCAGACGCCCAATGCCTGCCACATCGCGATGAACATGGGGCTCTGATAACAAAAACACGGGTGGCCGCCTCAACAGAAAACACTGACATTAAGCTTGAAAGGTTCCGACCATCTGGGCGCGAACGGGCCCGTGTCATACCTCCTGGCGGTCGCGATGGTCATGGGCTCTGTGAGAAGAGACACGCATACCCTAGCGCATACACCAGAAGAGCTGCCGTTCTGCCTGAAAAGTCTCGACAATCTGGGCGCGAGTGTCATACCCGTCGCCAACGGGCCCGTGTCATACCCGTGTCATGCCCGCGCGCCATGCCTGTTACATCGCGATGATCATGGAGCTCCGAGACGCTGGCAGGGCCTCCCTGGAAGATCAGACAGTACTTGTGGGACTGGCGGAGAGCGGGAGGCACGTCTTGGAGGAGGGGAGCGGAAGGATACGAGGCGGAGGAGAAATGGGGGATGGTCTGAGACAACGAAAATGCAGACATCCGATGTCTTGATGAGTTCAATACGGATTCCCCTGAAGTCCCGACCCTTTTCCCAGGGCCGGCTTTTCATCGTGAGTCGTAAAATTATCTTAACGGTCCTGGGGCCCAGAGAGGGCCTCCAGAGGCCGTAAACGACGAAAAACATCAGTCTTGATTGTGCCAACACGCTGGATTCCTGGGAATGCCAGGGGAGAAAACAACCCCCCCAAAAAACACGCAGACAAAAAACGGTTCAGGGGGTGCCCGATGGACTGGGTCCGCACCAGCGCCTGGGGAGGCACAGAGGCGAGTGGCAGCGCACAGATCGGGCCAACGGCCGGCAGGGCTCCCGGGGGTGATCGGGGATGCGCGCACGGAGGGGTGAGGTTTCAGGCGGCGGCGAGGACTGGCGGGCCCTCGCCTGCGCCTGGAGGAGGCCGCCCCGAGCGCACCACAGCCCCTCGCGTGGCGAAAAAACATGCGACGGACGTGCTTTTTATGTTCTGCCCCTGGTGTGTCCTCGGCCCGTCAAAGAGCGAGCCAGAGCCAGGACGAAGAGCCGGTCCCTGGGAAGGGGTCCAGACCTCTGGGGAGCCACGCTGTGGAACAGAAAGACGACGCTGGATGTCTGGGGAGGCCGTGCAAAACGCGCCACAGATCGACAGACTATCACGAGGGCCTTTCTCGGCGCCCGGGTTTGGGGAAGCAGCCCGCCTGGGCATGCTGGCGACAGAGCAAGCGCAGGAACGAGGAGGAGAAAGGCGACGGCGAGGAGGGGCGGGAAGAGGATGGCGAAGGCGAGGGCGACAGTGACCAGAAACCCTGGTCGTTTCTTCTGCCACGACGTGATCATGTCAGGGTTTCCACGATAACCAGCTCTGCGCAGCGTCCGGGTGACGGATGTAGGGGCCGATCCACAGGACTGGACTGGACTGGAATGGCGCGCACCATCGGCGCGAAGGCCGCCTATTGGAAGTGCACGGCATGCCCAGGAGTCTTGAGGTCCTCAGGTCCGGGATCCAAGGGGGCCCCGCGGCGAAGTGCTCCCCAGACGAGCGGCGAGCGCCGCGCATCGCAGATGCACACCTGAGACCAGAGCTGCTGCCAGAATAAGAAGCGCCTGGATGGGACTGTAGGGATCCTGCCCCCAGCTGCCGCACCCTGCCGCTCCCGCGGGCGAGCCAACATCCAGAGCGAAGGGGAGAAGGAATGCGCCTCTGTCGTCTCCGGGCACACCTGCCGCGCGAGCATCCACGCCTGCGGGCGTCAGGAGTGGAACAAATCTACAGGTCCACATCCCTCCTCCTCCCAAGAAAGTCAAGATGGAAGATGGTCGCCGTGTTCGGCCTCTGGGGGCCATCGCAGGGCCCTGGGACTGTCAAAAAGCGACTCGCGATGAAAAACCGGCCCTGGGGAAAGGGTCTGGACGGCTGGAGACCTCGCACTGAAACAAAAACAAGACATCGGATGACTGGGTCCCACTCCCCTTGCTCCGCTGATGGTCCCCATTTCTGGGAGAGGGGGGGACGAGGAACGAGGTGGGGTCTGCACAGGGAATCAGGACAACAGAGGAAGTTGGGAAGTCCGTGAGTGGAAGTGGCCAGGGCTGGAAGAACTGGCAGCGGGCTGAGACGAGCCAGAAACGAGTTGGATGAGATCGCAAGGGCTGGAAAAACAGGAATGAAACCGGCCAGGAGTGAAAATAGCGGAAAGGCTGAGTAATGTTGTCTCAGCGTGTCGCGGCGCCAGCCCTGGCGACAAGCAATTCCGCGGGGCGGGAGGCCAGGGAAGCCTGGGAAGGTAGACGCCTGGAAAAGTAAGACACATGGTCAGCGTCGCGCCGAAGCGTGGTGGAACAAAAGCGGCGGCGCAACACGCTGAGCAAACGCTCCCGACCGCGGGCCCAGGGCACGCCGGAGCCGCCTCGCTGAACTGGGCCCTGGCTACCGCTTCCCGCCCCCAAGACAAAACAACACAAGCCTGCCGCCACCCCAAATATCCGACGCCAACTTCTTTCACAACTTGGCTCCCCACAGGTCTGGACCCCTTCCGCGAGACCTGGACAGGTGTTTCATCCCGTGCCCTTTTTGGACGGTCTCCGGGGCCGGTGAGGGCCCTGGGAGGCCGAACGTGGCCAAAAGCCTTCTCCTCTTCCTCCTCCTACTCCTCCTCCCTCCCGTCCCTCTCCCCTCATCCGCCGCCGCCGCCTCCACTCCCCACTCTCCTCCTGGGGATGAGAAAAGACCACCACTACGACCAAGACGACAAGGCCCACGACGACGACCACGACGACCACCACGACGACCACCACGTTGACTACGACCACTACCACGACGACCAACACGACGACGACGACGACGACGACGACGACGACGACGACGACGACGACGACGACGACGACGACGACGACGACGACGACGGCCACTACCACCACGACGACGACGACGACGACGACGACGACGACGGCCGCGAGGGAGTTCGCGCCGAGGGCGGGCGCATCCGGCGCCTCCAGCCGCTCCCGCTGGGCCTGGCTGAGGCTCGTGGAGATGGCCCTTCGGCGCCCCTCGGGGCCTTGGCGGCCATGCTTCTTGGATGCCGAGTCAAGCTTGAGTCGAGCTCGAGTCGAGCTTGAGTCGAGCTCGAATCGATCTGGAGTCGAACTTGAGTCGAATTTGAGTCGAACTTGGGTCGAGCTGGAGTCTAGCTGGAGTCGAACAGGTCCGGCAGGTGGGCCCCAGGAAAACCCCCGAACGAGTGTGTCACGCATGTGTTGCGCCGTCAGCGTCCCCTCCCGAAGCTCGTGGGCGTTAACAAATGTTATGTTGCTAGTTACGGAAATCCCACCAGCCCTTTAGGGCGTGAGTGGTTGATAGTCCTCTCTGTTCTCAACCCCCTTCTTCCCCTTCGGGGAGGGGTCTACCCCTCTCCCTCCCCCCTCCCCCTGGGCCTGGAGAAGGGGGGGCCGCGGGTCGCCGGGGCGTCCTTTGTCGGTCCCTGGGAGGCTCATTTTTTGACACCCCTCACAGGGATCGTGGCCCCAGGGGGGGGGGGGGGGGGGGGGGGCAAATAAGTGCTTTCGTCTTCTTTGACCGATCTCCTCCAAGATGGCCCCAAGAGCGCTCCCAAGGCACCCAAGAGCGCTCCCAAGACGGCTCCAAGACGCCCCAAGAGGGCCCCAAGACGGCCCAAGCGGAGGCCAGTACGGCCCAAGAGGGTCCCAAGACGGCCCCAAGAGCGCCCAAAAGGCACCCAAGAGCGGCCCAAGAGAGCCCCAAGCGGCTCCAAGACCGCCACAACACGGCTCCAAGTGGCCGCGGAGCCTCCCCAGGACGCCCCCGATAAACTAAGACGGCCCAAGAGGTCCCCAAGACGCTCCAAGAGAGCCCCGAGAGGCGCCCTAAGAGGGCCCCAAGAAGCCAAAACCATTGATTTTCCCTCCCTCGCACAGCCTGCCCAGAGTGTTTGTCTACCGCCGCCTGTCCAGCCTTGTGGTGGGTGTACTCTCGGGAGCCCGCCACTCGGACCCCGTACAGGGTGGCGTGCGCTGTACCCGCAGTGTTGGGTTTCTTGCGAAGGTTTCTTGCGGCCGCGCCCGCACTGTAGCTGACTTTCGATTCCCCGCGCAAATTCGGCGCTCTTCTCACGCGGACGGTATTTCAAACATTTTAGCGTTCCCGCCCTTTCGGCTTCCCGACGCTCCAAGACAGCGCAAAAGGCATGCAAGACCGCCCCAAGACGGTCCAATAGGCTCCCAAGACGGCTCCAAGACGGCCCAAGAGGGCCCCAAGACGGCCCAAGCGGCGGCCAGTACGGCCCAAGAGGGTCCCAAGACGGCCCCAAGAGCGCCCAAAAGGCACCCAAGAGCGGCCCAAGAGAGCCCCAAGCGGCTCCAAGACCGCCACAACACGGCTCCAAGTGGCCGCGGAGCCTCCCCAGGACGCCCCCGATAAACTAAGACGGCCCAAGAGGTCCCCAAGACGCTCCAAGAGAGCCCCGAGAGGCGCCCTAAGAGGGCCCCAAGAAGCCAAAACCATTGATTTTCCCTCCCTCGCACAGCCTGCCCAGAGTGTTTGTCTACCGCCGCCTGTCCAGCCTTGTGGTGGGTGTACTCTCGGGAGCCCGCCACTCGGACCCCGTACAGGGTGGCGTGCGCTGTACCCGCAGTGTTGGGTTTCTTGCGAAGGTTTCTTGCGGCCGCGCCCGCACTGTAGCTGACTTTCGATTCCCCGCGCAAATTCGGCGCTCTTCTCATGCGGACGGTATTTCAAACATTTTAGCGTTCCCGCCCTTTCGGCTTCCCGACGCTCCAAGACAGCGCAAAAGGCATGCAAGACCGCCCCAAGACGGTCCAATAGGCTCCCAAGACGGCTCCAAGACGGCCCAAGAGGGCCCCAAGACGGCCCAAGCGGCGGCCAGTACGGCCCAAGAGGGTCCCAAGACGGCCCCAAGAGCGCCCAAAAGGCACCCAAGAGCTGCCCAAGAGAGCCCCAAGCGGCTCCAAGACCGACACAACCCGGCTCCAAGTGGCCGCGGAGCCTCCCCAGGACGCCCCCGATAAACTAAGACGGCCCAAGAGGTCCCCAAGACGCTCCAAGAGAGCCCCGAGAGGCGCCCTAAGAGGGCCCCAAGAAGCCAACATCACATGTTTTCCTGAAGTAATTTGAACATTTTAGCGTTCCCGCCCTTTCGGCTTCCCGACGCTCCAAGACAGCCCAACAAAGCCCGCAAGACCGCCCCAAGACAGACCAAGAGGCTCCCAAGACCGCTCCAAGACGGCTCCAAGAGGGCCCCAAGACGGCCCAAGAGGCGGCAAATACGTGCCAAGAGGGCCCCAAGACGGCCCCCAAGAGCGCCCAACAGGCGCCCAAGAGCGGCCCAAGAGGGCTCCAAGAGGCGATATTTCGGGCCCCGACGGGGGTACACCAATACATGCTCTGTCCTTCCTTGCCCGATGGCCTCCCAGATGGCCCCAAGAGACCTCCCAAACTCCCACAAAGAGCCCCGAGAGGGTTTCAAGACTCCCAAAGGAGCCCCAAGACAGCCCCAAGAGAGCCCCAGGATTCCCTGAGATCCCAAAAGAGCCCCAAGATCGCACGGCAACGCCAGGAGGAGGAGGACGAAGAGAAGGAGCAACGAGGACGAGGAGAAGGGAGGAGGATGGAAGAACGAAGCCAAATAGAGGGAGAAGGAAGAGAACACACCCTACGGTCAGCGCTCCTTTTTCCGAGCGGCTGCTTTTGGATGGGCTGGTGGGGACTCGCGAAGCGTAAACAATTTGCACATGCTGTTTTTGGCAAAAAAAACTCAGGCTCCCGAAACATTTCAAAACCAGCAAGTTCCACAAGTCTTCTGACATGTTCGGGAGTATTCGGAAGCGTTGGAAGTTGTTGGAAGCTTTCAGAAGTCTTTGGACGTCTCAAGACGTCTTGTGAATTTGTTCGAGGTGGGGGAGTCTTCGGAAGACTTCTGGACCCGACGCGTCCGAACTTGTGTTCGGAAGTCTTCTGGAGTTTGGAAGGTCTTCGGCAGTCTTCGGATAGGTTTCAAGTCAAGGGTGGCCCCCTCGGAGGTCTTCGGAGGGCGTTCGGAGCCCAGACCTTCGACGGAGCGATATTACAAATCGCGGCGTTCCTTCCTCAGTCGGCCTCCAGAAGGCCGCTCTCGGGATGCAGGATGGCACAGTGCCTTCGGGGACGCGGTCGAGGGGTCTGAGGCCCGGGGGCGCGGATTGAAAGCTCTTTTGATCAGCGGCGAGCTGGGTCCAGCAAGCGGTCGAGCTAGCGGCGGTGCACGTCGGAGGCGATTTGGGCACAAGGGCAGGGAAAGGCAGAATGCCCAGGTATCCGCAGACCTCAGCGTCGCAAGGCAGATCACGACTGCCAATTCCTCAAAAAGTTCGGCATCTGGGGGCCGTTCCCTAGCCCCGGGACTGTCAAAACAGCTCAGGAAGATCGGGCGTTCGCCACCTAGTGGGCCTTCGGTTCCAGTTCATAGCCCGTTAAGGGCACTTTCCTGCAATCCTCGATCCCCTCTATGAATTGCCCCCCTCCCCCCGGAGGAAGGCCGCTTGAATGGCCGGCGGACTGGCCGCCTCGATATTTTTTGATCTCGAGGTGCCATGGATGTGCCTGGGAATCAAGGGGGGGCGGGGGGGGGGGGGGGCAGCGCTCCTTCAATGCAGCAGGGTAGCCTATCCCCCCCGGCCCCCCCCCAGGAGGGAGGAGGAGGGAGGAGCGGGAGGAGGAAAGGAGGAGGGAGGGGGAGGGGGGGGGGAGGGGGAGGGGGAGGGGAGAGGAGGAGGAGGTAGGAGGAGGAGAGGAGGGGAGGAGGAGGAGGAGGAGGAGGAGGAGGAGGAGGAGGAGGAGGAGGAGGAGAAGGAGGAGGAGGAGGAGGAGGAGGAGGAGACGAGGAGGAAGAGGAAGGGGGAGGAGGCGGCGGAGCTCCGCTGCGACCAAAGTACGATGGCCGAAGGAAATCATTTGCGGGTATCCCTTCGCTTCTACGCCTCGGCACCCCACGACGAGGAGCAGGAGTAGGAGGAGGAGGAAGAGGGAGGGGGAGGGGGCGGGGGGCGGAAAGAGGGGAGTAGGAAGAGGAGGAGGAGGAGGAGGAGGAGGAGGACGAGGAGGAGGAGGAGGATCGGGGTCGGGATCGGGCTCGTGGAGTTCGGGCATCTGCTCTGAGCCATCGCGATTGCTTGAAACTGCGCCGCGCGTGAACCCTTCACAGCGCGTGCCCAAAACGCCACCGCGAGGGCCCCTCACCACCAAAGCACCCACCCAACCACCCACCCACCAGGAGGGCCACAGCAGGTGGAAGCGGCGGGGAGGGAAGGAGGGGGAGGAGGAGCAGCAGGAGGAACGCCCCCCGGAGACCCCGAACCTACAACTGCACTCTGCACGCTCGATCGGGCGCCCGCCAGCGCCCGCCGGCTGCGGATCGACCGCAAGCTGGCCGCCGCCCGTGCTGGATCGCGAACCGCGACGGGCCCGCGGCTGAGCCGGAAGAGCACTCGGCACAACTCCGGCAGGAAGCCGTCGCTGGGCGGCCCTGCGGCTGGGCAGGCTCAGATCTCTGAAGATGTGAATTGCGTCCATAGCCGGTGCCGTCATCACGTTACCACAAGGAGAGCCGAATCAGAAACGGAGGCGCTTTTCTGGCCACGGCGCCACGAAAACCATAGCGCCTCCTGAGCCCTCAGTGGTCCATGCGTCAGCATCGTGCCTGATGGCCCACCCCGCCCAGGACCGTGCGGATTGACTACCGGGGGACTTATCGGCCACATATCGCCGATGACAGGTCGATGTTCCCCCCCTGGTCCGGTCCCCCCCCCTGTCGTTCCCGGACGTGTAAGACCCAGATCTCAGACGATATGATTAGCTCAATCCCGGCGTTTTTGCTCAATCCCACCAGCCCTTTGGGCGTGAGTGGTTTAGAGAGCCCTCTCTGTTCTCAACCCCCCTTCTTCCCCTTCGGGGAGGGGTTTACCCCTCCCCCTACCCCCTCCCCCTGGACCTGGAGAGGGCGGGCCGAGCGTAGTCAGGGGGGTCTTTTTCGACTCCTGGGAGGGCCAAAAAACGACGACCCTCACGAGGATTCTGGCCCCGACGGGGGGAGGGAGTTTGGCCCCTCTGCTCGTCTTTGAAGCAAAAATCATTGATTTTACTACGGTTTTGGCCCCATTTGGGCGTCCTGAGGGGGCCGCGCTCATTTTCCTTCATAGCAAAATCATTGATTTTTACGAAGGTTTTGGGCTCATTTTGTCCTTTTCAGGGGGCAGCGCTCCTTTGCGCTTCTGAGGAGGTCGCAAGAGGCCCCAAGATGGCCCCAAGAGGCCCCCAGGAGCCTTCCAAGAGGCCTCCAAGAGGCCCCCAAGAGGCCCCCAAGCGGCCCCGAGAGGCCCCCAAGAGGCCCCCAAGAGGCCCCCAAGAGGCCCCACGAGGCCCCAAGAGGCCCCCAAGAGGCCCCCAAGAGGCCCCCAAGAGGCCCCCAAGAGGCCCCAAGAGGCCCCCAAGAGGCCCCCAAGAGGCCCCAGAGGAGCTCCGAACGATCACCCAGGACGAGGGGCCCGACCACGACTCACACCACGAAGAGCCCGAACGACTCACACCACAAGGAGGGGCCCGAACGACTCACACCAGGACGAGGCGCCCGAACGACTCACACCACGAGGAGCCCGAACGACTCACACCACGACGAGGGCCCCGAACGACTCACACCACGAGGAGCCCGAACGAGTCACACCAGGAGGAGGGGCCCGAACGACTCACACCAGGACGAGGGGCCCGAACAACTCACACCACGAGAAGCCCGAACGACTCACACCAGGACGAAGAGCCCGAACGACTCACACCACGAAGAGCCCGAACGACTCACACCAGGAAGAAGGGCCCGAACGACTCACACCAGGACGAGAAACCCCAAACGACTCAAATCACGAGGAGCGCTTTCTCTCCCTCCTCCTCCGCCTCGTCCTTCTCCCGCTCCCCCCACAAGGAGGATGTACAAGGAGGCGGGAGGAAGGAGGAACAGGGGAGATATGCGGGGCCAAGCGGACACACGCCTGAAAAACACGACTGTCGGCATGCTTCGCAAGAGTTGCTGCTGTGAGATGGGCTGGTGGGGATACGCGAAGCGTAAAGAATTTCCTTCCCTGGGGCTCGTCATCGGGCCCTGGGACCGTCAAACATTGATCCGAGACGAAACGCTACCCCCGGGGAAGGGGTTGGGAGCTCTCCGGGGCGCGGATTCAAAAGGTCATATCTTCGGATTTCTGGGAGAGGGGCGAGCCTTTCCAGTGCGCGCGAAAGGTCAACGGAATCTACCGCGCGGATTTCTTGGATCGACGCTGCACCCCTCCGTGGGGGGCGTGACGCGCCAGGGACGGCGCCGGAGCGCCGCTAGGGGGCCCAACGGAGGTCAAACAAATCCGCGCGGGCCTCGGACAATTCAGGTTGATGCAAGTGTTTCTCCTTGGATCCTGAGCGTCAGTAACGTTACGCCGTGCCAATTGCGAGGCACGAGCTCCGCCTTACTGTTGGCTCAGCTGCGCGGGATTCGAACTAAAACGACGCAGCAACGGCAGCAGCAGCACCGGACTTTCAAGAGTGCTAAAGGCAGCCCTCCAGACTTATGGACCAAACAACACTGCTCAAACCCGACTGTGTCCAACTCAGGTTCAGGAAAAGTCCCAAAGCTATTCGTTGAGCTTTCCTGGAAAGTACACCGGACTCACTTCTATAGCGCTCACTTCTATAGTGCTCACTTTGAAATTGTGGTCCGGAAGGGGCCGCACATGCAGGCACATGCCGCACAGTCGCATGCACATGCCCATGCAAATATACAAAAGCCTTAAAAGCATTGCCGCACATGCGCGCACATGCCACACCGTCCGACGCACACTCGAATGCACGGTCAAGCAAAACTCTGAAAGCATAGACGCACATGCCAGCACATGCCACAGAGATGTCGCAGGCGATAGTGGGCATTTCGCAACCCAGAGTTGCGAGGATGTCTCAAGCAAGCGTGGCCGGACCACCATGGGGCAAGGCATCATGGAAAACAGAGTGGCGAGGATGTCGCTGGTCGAGGTGACCAGACCACCATGGGGCAGGACACCTCCGAGGTCTGAGTTGTGAGGATGTCTCAGGCGAAAGTGGCCTGACCACCATGGGGCAAGAGATCTCTGAGGTCAGAGTTGCGAGGATGTCTCTGGCGAGAGTGGTCTGACCACCTCAGCCCAGGGCGTCTCGGAACCCAGAGTTGCGAGGATGTCTCAGGCAGGAGTGGCCTGACCACCTGCTCAAGGCATCTCGAAACCCAGAGTTGTCTCAGGCGAAAAAGGCCGAGACACTATGGAGCAGGGCATCATTGAGGTCATAGTTGTGAGGATGCCTCAGGCGAAAGTGGCCTGAACACCTCAACTCAGGGCATCTCGGGCGAGGATTCTAAAGCGAAAGTGGTCTAACCACCTCAGCTCAGGGCGTCTCGGAACCCAGAGTACCGAGGATGTCTCAGGCGAAAGGGGCCGAGACACTATCGAGCAGGGCATCATTGAGATCAGGGTTGCGAGGACGTCTCAGGCGACAGTGGCTGACCCATTCGTAAGATCGGGTGCTGCCCCACGACCTCGCGCAAAGCCTTGTGAAGGTGGTGCAGTAATGCCTTGTGCACCTGGTCGTTCCAGCATTGTTCCGGCGTGCCGCTCCTGCCGGCGAGCGCGGACAGGGCGAGCGCTGCGCGCGCCTGTGCGGAGCGTGAGCGGGGCGCCCCGTCTGTCGGGGCCGCGCAATCAAGCGAACGCTCGTCCGCGCGCGGCTTGCGCGCGGACGCGAACGCGCCGGCGCCCGGAGACGAACGCCGGCCCCGGCACTTTTGCACGTCCCGCACATGCCCCGCACAGGTACGCACAGTATTCGCACAGGCCGACCTCGCCAGTGGCCGAGCCAGGCCAGCGATTCCGAGATTCCCTGAGCTCGGGCCGTCAAGCCATTTTCGCCTGAGACATCCTCGCGACTCTCACCTCCTCCTCCTCCTCCTCCTCCTCCTCCTCCTCCTCTTCCTCCTCCTTCTCGTCTGGCCGAGCCGAACAGGCGGGCGGGCCGGCCGAGCCGGGGGCGTCCGCCTCCTCCGCCCCCCCCCTCCTTCCCCCCCCCTCCACCTCCCCGCCCCCCCCTGCTTCTCCGGCCGAGCTGAGAAGGCGCGCGGGAGAGCGTTTTACTAGGAGGGCACGCCGCCGCCAGCTCACAAACCGGGCGAAGAACCGCCCCCGCCAGCAGCGGGCGAGTCCAAACGCACAACAAACTCTTTCAGGAAGCCCTGGCACGCCCCAGGTTAGCTCTGCGAAGGCCAGGAGGCATTGGAGGCACAAGGGTCCCAGACAGATCCTAGGGCATGAGAGTGCATGTGCATTGGGATGTGCACGCATGTGCGCCCGCGCGCTTCACAGCATGTGCGTGCATGTGCGGGCCCGCGCGGCCTCCCGAAGAGAGGTTGCCCAGGCATGTGCGTGCATGTGCCGATGACAGATCTGCGATTCTCGAACACCTCCCGCATGTGCAGGCATGTGCGCGCATGTGCGTCGGACTGTGCGTGCATGTGCGTATGATGGTTACACCAAAACACAGCGCACATGCCCCCGCACATGCCCGGGCACGACGTGCACAGTAGGAAGTCCATCCAAGAAGGGCCGCACAGGCCTGGCACATGACTGGCACATGCCGCGCACATGCGCGCACATGACAGCGCAAAAACGGCCGCACATACACCCACCCAGGGGTATAGATGTGAGTGCGGTGTAACTGCCTGGAGCCCACCGCGTCGAGAAAAACACGCGACAGAGGGTGTCTGTTGCTCCACCTTGGGCATCTGTGGGCCCTGACTGGCCCTGGGGCTCGGGCCGAATTCCCAGGAAGGGGTCGAGGCCTCCCAGGGTCCACGCTGTGGAAACAAACATGACGTCGTGGGTCGTGGAATGGAGCCGCTGGTTATTTGTACGCAGACCGACTCGCATGCTGTCCCTTTGGCCACACGATGAATCGAGCGCGCGTAAACACTATATCACAGGGTCGCATGGCATCTGTGCATCAATCGATAAAACAGCAACCACGGGCAGTGGTAAGGACACGAACACGGAAACAGGCACGGGAGCAGGCTGCGGCGCAGGCCCAGCCATGGAGACGGGCACAAAAGAGGCAGCACAACCTCTGGCAATACAGGCAGACACAGACATAGACATGGATACAGACACAGACACAAACACACAAGCACAAACACACACACACACACACACACACGCGCGCGCGCACGCACGCACGCACGCACGCACTCACGCACGCACACACGCAACCAAAACATACACCATGGCACAGTAGACACACGACAAGAAATTATGATACAAGAAATCATGGGGTACATTATTCGTCGATTCCTGATGGTTCTAACACCAGAGATTACGTGGGTCCCTGGGCCATCAGGGGATCAGAAATCTCCGTGGGGCACCTACTGGCCGGCCGATTTCTGTTCTGATGCGCCTACTGTACGCACGTGCGTTCACATACGCGCGCAGACTTTTCACACACCCTTGGCCGACCGCCTGCATCCTGCGTCAGGCCGAACGAGTGGGCAAGAAAGGTGTCCGCTGGTGCGGTGCTCGATGCGGCGATCAATCAGGCGCGAGTGTACCGCGCGAGGCGCTGCCAAGGGCCAGCACCCTGGGGGCAACCTGGGCACCGCGAACCAGACAGACCGCCTGCAGATCGCTGGCGCTGAAGAAGGTGCCAAAGCAGGCCCAGAGGGGGGAAACTGGAGAACGCGGATGGTCAAGATGACAGGCAGGTAGCGGGGATGGAGGGTTCCACGCAGACAGTCTCCGGAGGTAGCCCGTGCTGGCCTCAACAGACTCTGGCGGCCTCAACACCCCAACCGTGGGGCGCGGATTGCCCTGCAGGGGGGGGGGGCCACCGCGGGAGGCGGCGCGAGGGTGTCGAGATCGCCCTGGGCTAGGTAAGTACCCTGGGGCCCTGTTCGGCTCTACTGACAAGGGTGCCATGTTTGTTCCAGGTTGCCCTTGGCTGCGCTGTGCTTTGGAGGGGGGGGCACTCGGACCAAACACTAACCTTCCAGTTTCCTGTCCAGAAAAGGGCGCCCCTTTTCTCTGCATCGACGACATGTCGAGGGCAACCGGGACTGTCTCCAGGGGCCGCCTGCGCGCAGCCCAAAACACTGCCAGGCCACCCCTCAAAATCAGCCGCCAGGGCTGTCCAGGGGAGATCTTGATAGCAATTCGGCCAGAATTAAGCCATCGAAACGGAAATCCTCGAACCTCATTCTTACTGGCGCGGGAAGTGGACGGCCGCGGCTGCGGCCGCGGCTGCGGCCGCGGCGACGACGGCGGCGGCGGCGGCGGCGGCGGCGGCGACGACGACGACGACGACGACGACGACGACGACGACGACGACGACGACGACGACGACATCGACGACGACGACGACGACGCCGACGACGACGACGACGACGACGACGACGACCACCACGACGGCGGCGGCCTCCCGGCAGGCCGGCGGGGGTCCGGCCAGTGGCCGCGCCTGAAGCCGCGGGCGGGGGCTCCTACGCAGGGGCGGCGCTGTGCGATCGCCGGCCACGGCGCCGCCGAAGTCCCGATCGCCGATCGCCGATCCGATCGCCGTGCCTGGGACGTTCAAGCCGTGGCAACGACGGGGGCCCTTTCTCCCCATTCTGCTGGCCAGATCCACGCGCTGGGAGACTTCAGCCTGCGAACCGGCTCCAACCAGACCACCTCCTGAGCCAACGTGGCCCCTCCAGATCCAGCACGTCGGCTGCTAGTGGTGCGGGATCCACAGAGAGCGCGGCAGCAGCTGGCCGAGCAGAGGGGCAGCCCTGGCGCAGGCAGCCGTCGGGGCATCTTGAGAAGCGCGCGCGACGGCTGTTCTGGCCAGGGTGGCGGGAATGGTCGGTGGAAGGGAGGAGACTCTGGAACGCGGGGCCCAGAGACCTGGCCGTTTCAAATGCTTCACTCTGACGTTTTCGCCCGTTTTCGGGGCCTGGGGCCATCACAAAGCGATCCGGCTCGACAAATGCTGCAGACAGATGGGGTCTAGGGCTCTGGTCGTGATTCTTCGCGACGTTGCAATTTGTTCGAAACGTCGGATCCCAAAGGGAATTCGGCCGCCACGCGGCGCAGCTGCCACTGACCACCCGAGAGCTGACGCCAACGGCGCCACAGGAAGGGAGCCGCCTGCACGAAACAACTATTCCAAAAACCCCTCAGGTGATGACCGTTTAGATTGTCACCTCAGCCACTGGGGGTCGGAGCCCCCCCCGCCCCACTCGGGGGATGAGCACATGTCTTTAGCGCATGGAGCACGATGGGCCGAGGGGAGAGGGAGCACTATTTCTGACAAGGCGCTAGAAGCAGACACTGAGCCCAAAGGGCTGCGGAAAGTAACGCCGAGACCGAACCCCAAGCTAATCCCGACAAGAAAGGCGAGGAGGCCCGAGGGCCCAACTGGGCCCCACGGGACACGAAAGGAGAGGAGGGGGGGGGGGGCGACCGACGAGCCCATCAGGGCCCAGGGACCTTCGGGAACGGGCCTCGTGGGACCATGGGGGGTACCGGCCAAACCTTGGCGGGGTTAGCGTGGCCACAAGGGCACGCGCGCCCGCCTTGACGCTAACGTAAGCCGGCAGGTCCGGCGGCGTGAGGATCTGGCGCGGTCGAGTCTGCGGCTCGCACGGGGGCTCCTAGCGTGTCGCGACGAGCGAAGAACTCCCAAAGGAATTGGACGGACAAGCCAAGTAAACATAGTTCTTGAGACAAACACGCGAACAAGGAGAACCAAAAGAATTTAGCTTTATTTCTCCTGACCCCCAAAAGGCCAAACACGAGTAGCAAGCTAAAGATAAGGATATACACGCTCCAGAAGCCACGAATCCAAAAACTCTGCCACGTACCGAATGCACAGATTTTGCTTCCGCAGGCCGTCCGCCGGCAGAGCCGTCCCCGCTCTGCCCCCGCCGGCTGCCGCAGGCCTTCACTCCAGACAGGATTCCAACATATCGATCCCTCGAAGGCGAGGCTACTCACGTATATCAGGATCGGGCGGTACTGGTGCGCCTTCCTTCCTGGCACATGACACACGTTTGCTTGGTCTGCGGCGAGTTGGGTCCAACAAGCGGCCAAGCAGACCGCGGGACGCACCCGTTGCACAGGAACCCAGGCGAGTAAGGGGCGAAGAGAAGAAAGGCTGCGGGACG